CTTTGACCTTCTACTAAATATTCATTAGCATCACATCACTCTTTTGCATATTCACCACGTCTAATTATTAATATCCTCTTTCCATCTTTACGCGCTTAACTGCAAAATTTGTTGTGGACGACATTCACAATCAGCGCATAATCTGACTCAATTAAAAGCGAACGGTAAATCCACAACAATGACTTAAATTCAAAGTAAGCAATTTTACACAAAATATTCATATTCATATAGGTTCAAGGGTTCAAGTAAAAGATTTTTACTCTCAAGGACATTGGCTACTACCAAAAGGGGCTAACCCTGTATGCGTACGTACATACGCACACAATCACCTGCAAGCCCCCCGTCCGACATAATAAACTTCAGCGTGTGTCGGCTGTGACGTCAGGTAACTTCCTGTTCTCACGAGATCCCATCGCTGCACAACGAAATAATTACATCCGTACGGACATCGCACTCCATCTCCTCGAACCTCTTCAACTTTAACTCTTCAACTCTTTAACATCGCCAACTAACTATAATAATAATAATTCAGTGCTGGCATTACGTCTTCTGTGCTCTGTCCCTGCGGCCCGAATGAAAACTTATACCATCGCAACTCGTACGTCGCTTACGAAAAGTTAATTACGGTAATATAAAAACGACAAGCACGCCAAGACATGAGACACAAATTGACGAGAGTTCAAGCCGGGACATAATAATTGTTTTCTGAATATTTTTACTGTTTTCACATCTATGAAAACTTGATCTAAGAAAATTTGATTTGGAATTAAAATCAATTCGCACAGGTTCACACGTTATTCCGATCAATGACGGAGGTGGCGACTTAAAATTGAATTCCAATCGCTTTCAATCCCATGAATGTTCAAGGTAATTTATTGGACAGCAGTTTTGACGAATCTGGGAAAATTGATTTTATTGATGTATATGTTTTAATTTAATAAAAGGTTCGATTTGATTCGACAGCACGTCGTGGGTCGTGAGCAAAACAATTTCGCATATATTGGAAATAAATACGGTAGAAAATTGAAATAAAGCCGCGTTTGGTAGGCAATCACGGCGTTCGTTTCGCAATCACCGGCCACGCCGCCACCGGATTCGTCGTCAGGCATTTCAATCTCGACCCTAAGCCATCACTCTTTTGATCAAGCCTTGATATTACTTGATACTATACCCACAGTTGTCAAAACCAATAAAATCATAGAAAACCAACAATAACGCTCATTTAAAACATGATTATATTAAAATAATCAACAAAACTAGTTTAATTGTTAAATCAGTAATTTATAAGGTTCTACTGGCTGTTTCAGAAAATAATTAAAATTGTTTCAGGTTTAGGTGACAGACGGTATGCGCGTTTGCTTGACGGCCACGCTTTGCCACTTGTTTGTCGATTCGCATCGGGAATAAGGGCGACAATATACGAAAAGGCCGACGTGCCGACGTAGTGCTAAGGTACAAAGGCGCGCCGCGGCTGCATTATATGAAATTCGTCGTGATTTACGATAAATTTATAACGCAAATTGCGAGCGCAACGCGTCGACGACGCCATTCGCTCGGCGCGCACACAATTTTACGACGACAATAATTGCCGCGTACCCCGCGCACCCACCTGGCTGGAGTGACGATTCCGATCATGGAAAAGCGCGCGCCAGAATTAATTTAAATTATCGCCAGGTCATTGAGAATTTTACGCGTACCAATTATTAATTAATGCAATTAAAAATTTATTAAAAATCCCATACTTATTATACAACACACGGGGCTAATTAACATTTGACATGCTGACCTCTCGAGTACCTCAACGTCACGGCATCCGGTTTCAATCTAGATTTCCAGCAAATATCATAAAGTTGAAATTTGAAAAATTTACTCTGATTTATGTAACTTCCTATATTTAAGTTTGTACGCTTGTAACATGATTAAATAACGTTATAAAATAATTTCTTATTGCGACATTCTCGAAACACTAAAAAAATAATAATGTCAAATAAGTTGTTTACAAACTTTGTTCAAATTAGATCGGCGTGCGTAAGGAAGTTTACTTTTACTTTTTACTACTTGCGATTTGCTGTTTGTTTCTGCGTGTCGCGCTGCTCGCGGTGGGTGGCGATGGTCATTAATTGCATTTTTACTTTTTCGAAATTGTAACGCGTGTGTCGCCTCGCAAGCGCCGTGATTAATATGGTACTGCGCAGTGCGGGTATGACCAAGACGGAGTGAAAATACGATTAGAAAAAAAGCGGCCGCACGCTCCTCAATTAAGTCTCCAGTGAAAGTGTGAAGCAACCCCATTAGTGAAGGGTACTCGATTCCAATTAAAGCGACATCATGTTATTATTGTTAGCCGGTTACAACTTCTCTATTTTTATGTTCTTACTCATATAACAATTAGGATATATACAATGCGTTCAAATTATTATTTTTTTATAAAATATATAAAACAAATAGCAATACTTTGAACGGATTGTATAAAAATATAAAAATTGAAATGTACCTCGGTATACTGAGCCAGCCAAGCAGTCGATGATTATAAAAAGTGACAAAACGATGATACGCCGTCTTGCATATTTTCACTTTTCCTTCATCCATGTGCGACACATGAACGCGAGCAGCGCGTGTTTAATTTGCCGCAAACTCAGATCAAAACGCAATCATGAATTCGCTCACGTCTAACTGTTTCTCAAATCTCCACAATTGCAACATCTCCAAATAATCACCTCCGTTAATGCTGATTCAGATCATCGAGATAAAATTTAGTTGCCTGGGAATAACCGCCTTCAATGAGTTTGCGTACGTCATGGCATTGGACCAATAGTAATTAAAATTAAATATTGTTTACCTACAATGCTTACGCTACAACCGCAAGCAAAACAATTTTTTGCTGCGGTGAATTTTCATGTGCACTTGCGACAACACACGTTAAATGACTTAAAATTTAAACATCATTTGCGGAGATGTCACCCAAGTGATGCGAGTGCGGTGCCGGTCTGAAAAACAAGATGATTTTGTTTTGATACGTGCCATGCACGTGGTTTACTCTGAATTGTATCAGGCGGTTCGAGAAAGTTTACCGGTATTTAGTCGAGAAAATTGCGATTTCAAAAGCTAACGCCGATTTGATCTACAAGAATGGCGAGACGGGAGATAAAACGCAAATGTTCTAAAGGCAAATATTAAGCAACTTAACAACCAAAAAAACTAGTTGTAGAATGAAAGATTAAAAAATATTCTGATTGAGAAAAAGAAGCAATCCAGCAAATTAAACAACATTTTCTCCAGATTTTCTCCAGAAATCGTTGGTGGCCGCGCCGGACAGCAATGAATCTTCAAAGCGCGCGCGCATTGCAGTTATCTTCATTTAATATGTGTGAACTCCTGAGGCACACTAATTGCAAATTAAAACCAACTAACGAACTCGCCTCCGACGACGGTGCACCGTTAAGCAGCGCACGTACTGCGCACTTTGATGCTTAATCCATATAACCAACCTGACCGTTCGTGGCGGCGTGTTCGCGGTAGATTGAAGAAGAAGCTAAAAAAACACGCGATGCAAAGAAGCGGCAGCACCAAGCCAGGCGATCAGCGCGCACAAACGCCGCATCATTTCGGAAACAATGCGCAAGGGGTTCACACAATCAACATTTTTCCCATCAACATAATAATAATAATAATAATAACAGCAAAGCGGCAGCAGAAGCAGCAGCAGCAGCGGCGGTAACAACCGGCAACCGGCGACGACGGCAGCGAGTGTGCCTTAACATCAACTCAAATGAACTTTGTGCTTGTCAAGAAAACACGAAATGCGGAAATTCATATAAAAACAACACGCTAGAACCTATTCCATGTATCCAGCGCACTTTTTATAGATTATTTATGCTAGCATGCGAGGAACTAGCTAATGTTTCAAAACTGGATTTAGAAAACACTTAGCCTGATCTGCACGTATAAGTAAAATCTAAAAACTCTACATTCTACGCTCTACACCGTAGATAATCTAAGTGTTTACTAAAAATTATCCTTTAAGTCACTGCTAGTCGTAAGAGTAAAAAAATTTATGCAAAAACTTTAAAATGTCTATTTCGAAAATTTCTAAAGAAAATGACTTGATATAAAAAATTATCTGCAAATCTTGGCGAAAGTTGTTTTCATTCCGCTTGTAAAAACCCATTTTAAGCTCCTTTGACTCTGATAATGCGTTGTCGCATGCGTGCATTACGCTCTGAATCACAACCAACGCTGGTTTGGCAGGCGGCAGCGAAGCGATGCGCTTGCGACACCAGCAGCGTCGTCTTCTGCGCTATGACAGAATGCAAATTGGACAAGTATGTGCCTGATGACGCTTTCCGAATCTGTCAACTGGATCTAAACGCTACGCTTTGCATGCGCCATTTTCTCCGGACAGCTAAAATATTGCTACAACTCTATCATGATGAATATTTAGCACAGATTTTTCGTTCCAACAAAAAGATGCTTTTTTTAACCATAAGAATTAACTTAGCAGGTTATTTTGAATTGCAACACACGAGTATAGCATGTCTTGTAGTTGTCTTGATAGCATGTTTTTGCTGCTGTCTTGATCACATGTCTACTGAAGAAACTTTGCATAAGAATATGGGAAAATATCGAAATATTTCTTGCCCAATGGAGATGATTAGAATACACACGCTGACGGCCATTATGCGCGGGGCAAAGTTGTTAATGCAATAATAAAAATCTTCATAAAAACAACGTGTCGAGACTTGGTGTCGACCGTGTTCGCTTGAATCTTAAGCAATTGGCTGGAATATGTTGTAAAAATTTTTAATGACGCCAGTCTCCCTAATTAAATGAAGTTGCTTAATTATTTTAATAATTTATGAAGGACAAATGCAAGATTTTGAGAGAGCAAACACGTAAGTCGATGAATTTGCGAATAAAAATGTTTAAAAAATGGGTACAGTAGTTAAAAATTGATTTTAAGAAAATCAATCAGTGCACTCGCATAAAAAAGTTGTAAATACCTTAAGTATAATACATATTTCCATTTCGAAAACAATGGTCCCCGGTATTATTGGACTAACTTCAAAATTCAATTGAGTCATTATGGTCGACACTGAAACAAAATGATTCAATAATCAAAAATCAATCTATCATTCTTGCATATTATCGGAAACACCCAACAAAATTAAGTTAAGTACCTTGCCCATATACCTACAGCAACGTTAACGCCTAGGCATTAAACAGTGTTCAATTCATGTTTTAAGTTTAAAAACGCGTCTATTTAAATGACATGCTAAACTCTCCCAGGCCAGACAACAAAAATCAAGAAAAACAAGTTTCTTAAAAGTAGAAATTAACCAATGTGGAGTTAGGTGACGTTTTATAATGCAAAAAACCGACTCGTGTACATTGTGAATATGAATGTGCTCACATGCTAGCTAGGTTTGGGTCCGTCTCCGGCAAAAAGGAGGCTCTGACCAAGCGAAGCAACGACGAACGGCGATCAACGTGCAGGCAGGTATCGCCTTTGAACCAGCCCACCGCCAACCTGCCGGTCGGTGTCGTACGCGACTCAGTCAGTTTCAGTACGTGGCTTGCGCATGCCGCACGTACTGAGTCCGAGTCCGCCGCTCGCTTCGCCGTAAGCTGCTCGCGCCCGCGCGCTTCGTCAAAACCGCGAGTCTCGCGTGGACAAATCACACTTGTCGCGCTTCGCACCGTCAATACGCCCGCAATTGTGTGTTTTATCAAAGTTTTCACAAAAACTCAAGACTTACTTAAGTTGGTTGCGTTCGAGTGATAGTGACTTTCAAAACAATATGGGATACAAGCGTTTAAATTACCATTAATTTGAAATCTTGCTAGCGCATCATATAAAGGACTTTTTGCGCGCAAAGTTTTTACTTAAAGTGTTTGTAAAGGGCTGTTTGTTGTTTTCTATTACCTGCAATGGCTTCCGATGAGGATTGCAACGCTGGCTTTGGTTATGGGTAAGGAAAAAACATTATTATTGTTTACAAAAGCGTAAATATAGATTATGCAGGCAGGAGCATTTAAAATGATATGTAATTTTTGATAATACTGTGACGCTATCAAGCCTTGGCCAAACACGGGGATTAAATAATACACGCGATGGTGCAGGTGCCTTGACCTAGAGCAAAATTGCTTAAATATTTACCCAGTGAACACAAACTCTTTGTCACTTTTGTATCAGTAATGATGCGCAAATACACACATTCCATGACTTCCATGGTTGAATGAATCCTATAAATATTAACTCTAGATACCTACCTACGACAATAAAATGACATCAGATACACACAAGGAAAATAAACGTTGTTCAAAATTTCTGATTACATTTATCATTAATCAAAGATCAAGAGCGCGTAATTAAGCGTCGATTTTAAGTAGGCATTAAATGCGAGTATATCAGCTGTGTGTGAAACTTGTGCTCGGATTTTTGAGTTTTTGTTTTTTGGGTGACTTTTTTACATTTTTCGGTCGGCGTCCTGGTCAAATTCTACAAATATTATGTTAAATTAATCAAATTTATTCGTGCGCGCCGCATTTTTCGAAAGTCACTCACTGACGGGGTTCGGCAGTTCGTTTGCCCACCTTGAATTAATGCTGAATTTTCGTCCCTTGATTTATATCCGAAATCGATTGATTTATATATGTTACAAATAGCTTTCTGCGGAAAACCGAAAAAATAAAAGGCTTGATTTACAAAATTCACAATAAAAAGTGAACCGGACTTTATAAGCATAAATAAGTAAATTCTTTGCGTCCTCAGACATTCGAATGCAATTTATAATTAGCAATATATCACTGATGGTAGATTACACCGAGGATACTCACTTGTACTTGAAGTTATTTTTGTTTTATTTACGTTTTTCGCTTATAAAATTCATACAGGGTCTTGCAGAATATTTTTCTTAATTAATACAATTTAAACCAATCACTCAATACTCAAAAATGATAAGAAAATGATTTTTTGGTTAAAATTTAATTTTTCTTTAAATTAAATCAAATCAATTTGCAAAAAATGAGAATATGTCTGAAATAGTGTTTTAATCATACTAAATTTCACATTCTTCAAAAAATAACACCCTTATATCACCTAGTATAAATATGGAAGTAATCATCTATCGAGTAATACATAATTTTGAACTTCCACGAATCACAACTGCGCAATCTCGCGAGGTAAAACAAGATTATGGCTGCTAATAGCTGCGCAGTAATGAAGTAATCAATGTCGTAAAAAACGCTCGATAGGCCGGCCTGCAATTAAACGCCACGATAATTACCGATCCGTATTAAAACATACATGTTATTGAAGCACTACGCGCAAAAGAAACGCCGTTTTAAAATCCCGATATGATATTCCTCATAACTGCAATTCTTCACTTGTGACTCGCGATTGAATTGTGACGGCAAAAACGTCTCGAAACTCGTTTGTCACCAAGTATCATCATCAAGAAATGATGCATTGCTGTCGAAGTGTTTTCGCTTTATTACCTATACGAGTTTTTCAGCGGGCGCAAAATCTGGTCCTGCATTGATGATGATTGATTGTTCTTATCCAAACATTTAAGCGTAAAATTGTTTTTTATGCATTCGTATTTATTGGCATGTAGGTAGTGTATTTTTTTAAAATAAATAAAGTGGTATACATTTGTTACGAAATAAGGTCGATACTTGACATAGATCTTGATTGTATCAGAAGTAAAACAAACATTAACACATTGTGATATATTTCGGCAATGTATTGATTTCTGTGCTGCAAAACAAGTTTAGTTATTTCTGGTATGTGTAACCTGCCAAATTTTCATGCGTGATTCTCAGCCGATGTTTGCTTACACAGAAAAAAAAATGTTGTCGGCTTAATTCGTCTTTCCTAGAAGCCTTTCCTTAATGCGTTCCTTGACATCGCAGCGTTTGCGCTGACAAAAAAAGTGCAACAACATCGGTCGCCGCGCGCAAACGCATTTATTTCATATATGAAATAATAGAAATATTTCGCATCGGTCGCGGCCGATGAGCGGCGCGTAACGGCAGCGACGAACCGGTGGCAGCGAGCCATTAACATAGTTCGTACTTGATTTAAACGTGATATCTCGCGGCAAATGTCTTAATTATTGGATTGGCAGCGACGGCGCGAATTTAAACTGTCTACTAAGACCATTTCGGGCGATGGCCGTCCGTCGACGGCGTGTCGCAGCATCCCGGCGCGTCCGCGGCCGCAAAAACGCATCTCGCGCAAGTTCCACGGAACACGACGGACGTGATAAGAATACGCGCCGCGCTACAAATGCCACCACTAATCTGCCGCGCGGGCACTGCCACCACCGACCGACTGGACTGTGGATAACGAAACGATCATTTGGAAAACCTTTTCAACAGCCAGAGAGCAGATGCGCATACCTCCGGCTAGTTTTTATCGCGCAGGGCGCTCGTAAAATTTCTTTCAGCGACCGAAAAATTTTTCGCCAAGCGCGAGGTCAGCGTGGAAAAAGTCACGACACAGCGAGCGATACCGCGAATGGTAGTTACGGCCGGCCGGCGAGCGAAATTTATGGAATGAGCGTCGGTAGCCGATGTTATTGATTATTGCCTCATTAAATATGAACGATGATAAAATAAATGACGTCATTGGACGAACGTTTGAGCCATCGCGCGCGCAGCTATCGCACAGTGCACATTGCACATTATCGTAATTCAGTCTCCGACAATCGGAGATTTTCTCCCGCGAGTCAAAGCCGCGCTCGTGGTATTTATCAATATGCGCGATTAAAATCTACATAAGGGCAAAAGTAAATAGCTAATAAACCGATAAGAAATTCGCCGTAAATGGAAATGGCACATATAACTGTCGGCGTGCGAGGCAGGAGTCAAATTTATGCTTAATATCGCGCGATTGCTTCGTGTTACTTTACGAAATTTCGTTGTGCGCCAATTACGCAGCGTTCGAACATCGATCGCTTGTTACACAGAAGCCCCAAGCCTACGCTTAAACTTAATTAACGACTTAACGACTTTACGACTAATTAAAATAAACAATACTTAAGCAGGGCGCATGATACATATCTCTGCAGGCTATTTTATTATAGATTATACCTTATCGTAACTGTTGCCTGCACGCTCAATCTCAATATGTGCTATTGAGAAACGCGTGGGTCGACGAGACTAATGCGCATTGATAAGGCGATATAGTTTTCAAATCTAGCATAAAATTATTGGATAACTACAAGCCAATATCCACTATAACCTGGAGTTAGAAGTTTTCACCTCTAAAAACCAATAAAACGCATTGTATTAATTGGTCTCAAGTGCGAAAAATGACACTTAACATATACGGAAGTTGTAGGCGAGTGATCGTATATCGCAAGACCATAAACGTTAGAAATATTTATTTATTTTGGTTTTGAATTGAGGCGTTTATTATTAATTTATTCCTCACCGATAAACCAAAAATGTTTCAGGAGCAAAAAAATTCAATTCCCATCGGCAATGAGTCGTGCATTATAAAAGTGTCGATAACGCGGCGATATTTCCATCGAGTGTTGCAATGTTTCACTCCAAGGATGCGCTTTATACAACATTTGCACGTTTGCACGTCAAACCCCGCTCGATTCTCATCGCCAATATAAAAGTATTGTTTGGCTTTCGTTTGTTTCTTAATTCGTTTTTACAGATTTCCTTAAATGAGAGCGGGTAATTCATTTTTGTGCGAGATTGGCGAGAAAATTGCATATAATGCATGTTCAATTGCATTCGTCACACTTTCAAAAGTTCATTTAAACGTAGTCACGCAACGTTTACGCGTCTGAGCGCCTATCAAATGACGAATTTTCAATACCATTAGCGACAACGCACGCGCACCACACATTCATTAATCGGCGCAGACACGCGGTCGCTCGAATATAATAAATATGCAATCGGCCGAAATATTCATCCTCATTGTTGTCTAGTGGCAATACCATAATCTCATACGAATGGTATTTTTAACACACCAGTTGTACATAACTTTAATTACTGCATATCTGCGTTGATATCTTGAAATCAAATAAATACGCCTCGATTTACACTTTTATTAATAGCTTCTGAATGTTTAATGATTTAATTTATTATTACCGGGATTGTTTGCCTAGCGTTCAACGCAGAATAATTACACGTCCTTCAGTGTGAATTGGATTTGTAATTGTATTGTATCATTGTAGAATGATGGAAGCAGCGACACCGTCGCCTTCAACAACAAACCCTTACTCAACATGTATCTCTCCGTCCAACTCGCCCTCTCCAATGCTACCTCAGAATCAGTATCACATGACGCCTAGATACGAGTATCAGGATCAGGATACCATTCCAGCATCGCAAGTGCTTCCACAAGTCATGCAGAAGGAAGCTGGCGTATGGGACATGTCTCAGAATATTTATCAAGAATACCGAAATTATGATAATAGGTAAACATACCTATTTTTTGATGTTTCAAGGGTTTTAATGGATTAATTTGTTTAAAATTTAGATTTTCTACAACGGATGTCTACATGAGGCAAACCTACAACGACAGTATCCCTGTGTTCGCCCAGACGCGGCCAACCTATGGCAACAAAATCGCCGCGCAAGGACAAAAAGTCGCCAAGGAGGTGCGGATACGTCGACCCATGAACGCATTCATGGTGTGGGCTAAAGTGGAGCGCAAAAAGTTAGCCGATGAAAATCCAGACCTTCACAATGCCGATCTAAGCAAAATGCTAGGTAAGTCTTCTGAAAAAAAGCATACCTATACGCATGAGTGTACATTGACATTAAAAGCAATTCGGAAAAATAAAAAGGCCTCACGTGACCCGTTGACCCTCCGCTTGATTGACGTCTGCTGGCGTGATTACCGCGACGCACGAGCTCGGGGCACACCTACGTGGAATTAAAATTACTGTTGTCGTGCCGTGTCGCTGGCCCCGGCCGTTGTTGTTTGTCATTGAGCGCAGCGGCGATGAAGAAGAGGATGAACCTATATATTGAGCAGCCATCAGCAGGGTCGGGACTGATGGTTGCAGCGCCTCAAACCGCTCCCAAAAAAATCGCTTTTTGTGCGCTTATACCAACCGAACAAAACCACAGGCTAACGAACAAAGAACAAGTTACAACATGGCAACACCGCTGTTGTAGTTGTTGTTCCGTGGCTGTGTACAGGTAAAGCGAGTAAGTACACCGTAAGTGTTTCAGATCGCTCATAGCTCATTGCGTTTTTCCCGGATGTGACTCGTTCTACAATATCTCCGCCGCGCTGCCGCACCGCCCGCCTTCAAGACTTTTCGTTCCGTTTCTGATTTCGATCTAAACCTCCGCCGTGAAGGTACCACGGTTATTAATCGGATGAGGAATGCCGCATGTCTTACTTTCGCTTAACAAATTCGCTGCGTGCCGCCGTTAGCAGAGTCAGCGAATGGTAAAGTGGGTGCTAGTAAAATTAATTCAAAGCCGGAAAACGGTTATTAAAGCAAACAACAGCTAGGCCCAACACGGCGCACAGCCAGACGTAGAGCGTAAAAACAGATTTGGATGTTAAGTCAAGTGGGACACCTTCAATTTTACACGCTACAAGAAAAAGCACCGAAATTCGTTCGGTTTGGTTGGCATTCACGGGCTGAGGTGGTCGTATAAATTGTGTATGATGAGGATGGTTCTGGTAACTAATTGGTGGAGCATGAGATCGTGTATGAGTCGTTGCGGCGGCCAATGAAACGTAAAACTCGATGATGTTTCGTGACCGTCGGAGAGCCGGAGAGCAGAGAGCCGCGCGGCGCTTCTCTCTCCTCCGTCTATCTCTGCGGACGACGCGCATCTCTCCTCTCCCCGTTTCACAGCCGCTGCCAGCACGCTCAAATCGAGCGCGGCCATTTTATAATACCAGTTTAACCTTTAAAACAAAATAAGCGGGAAATCGCCGATCGCCGGGGATTGGACTGCGAAGACAGCGCCCATCCAATGAGCGTGTCGACGCGCCGCTCACTCGCCACTCTACCCGACAGTAGCGCACTTTACTTAAGTAACTTACATTACTTCTATGCGCCGCGGCTATACGCAACATAGAGGCCTTAATAAATTTGATAAGAATGCCATTTTCGAAAACATAAACAATACTACATTTGCCGCGATAAGCCGTACACAGCGCTGCCAAGGCCGGCCGCGTAGGTGTTGTCAAGTTTTTTTAATTAGTCATTCCCGGCGCGCGCGAATGATTAATGCGTCGTGCCCGTGGAAGAAACCACACAAAACGCATAAAAATCAATCGGCCGTTCCACGTACCATGGGGCCAGCAGCGAGCTTTTCGGGGTGATCCCATCGCGGAGTCAAGACACGAACGCAGGCACGACGCGACGACGCGTTCCCGAAAGCTATTTCTTTCATCCGTCACGTGTCTTCACATATCCGGTCGGAGTGGACGAATGTGTAGACCAAACGCATGAAATGCTCACATCGCGACACAGTATTACAATAACGGATGTTTTATTTAGATTTATTTTTCCTTTTACGGGCGGGAAACATACAGCAATAAAAATATTAGATTGAAATGACATACATATGAAGAAACTATAAAAGTTGAAGAATTGGAGAAGTACGTGGTAGAAACCTCAAAATTTAATCAAAAATTGTAGAATTTTTTAATTGAATAGTTTAAAAAGTCAAAAACTAGAAATTTGGCAGTAAAATTTGTAAAATTTAAAATTTAATGAAAAAATAAAAGTTTTTGAGCATTTGCTGCTCTTTTATTACTAAAAACCACCATAATAATTATGCTAATCTATTGTTTATAATCAAATTTATACACGTTAACAAAATAAATAAAGTGCCGTACTGATTTGCATAAATTACCAGATTCTCCGCCTCTGCAAAATCAAAGTAGGAGTGACCGAATTTAAAAATAAATATAATAAATTTCCGTGTTTATCTTCACTCATCCCAACATCTCTCTAAAAAAAATGAGCACAGCCGCATGCGTGAGCGCATAGTATTTAAAACAGTGTCGCCTCATTAAATCGCCCGCCTTAAGATAATGATATTACCATTTCCACTAATAAAAATAACCCATACACCTACATTTCGCTGATCAGCTGCTCGTGAGCTGGCGTAAGCGTATTCCAAAGAAGACTATAAAAATCCGTGTGAAAAAGTAACGGCTCTCAAATAATACCGCCACGCATTACGTAAAAAAACAATACAAATCTCGATCTCCCATTGTATTTCGTGTTTCGTATTTCGTTACATTCATACCGTCTCTGGTGTGCAGGTTTTTCTTCCATCTCTTCGTCGCAACAACGACGTCAGCACGTACTTTAAAGCACCTAGAGCCACACACTGGTACAGTTTTCCTTCTTTTTATCAAGCGCGCATGTAGATGCGCCGGCTGAAAGTACGTGTGATACTCGCTCGTGGCATTTCTATATGAAATAATAATAATAATAATAATAATAATAATAATAATAAGCTCATGCATTGTGTTTCGTGCGGTTGTAGGCACGAAAACACCTCTGCGGCGTTTCATTCACAACTCGTGTCTCGAAGCGTGTTCCATTCATTTTTCAGCCCCGTCAAGTGCTCATGTGTTCGCAGGTTGTAGCGCCGAAGAGTACAAGAATAGTTCAACAATCGATTGTATTAAAAATAAATATCGAATGACTCGACACGAATGAAAACACCTCGCGTACACACATCATTGACAGATGAGGAAAGCAAAACAGATAAAAATTGATCGAATCACATTGAAAGTTTTGCATGTCGCTATGTAGATCTAATTGAAGCTAAAACTTGCCATGGGGACGATGATATTATTAAATGTTTCGAGGTAGACGACATTTAATTAACGCGCGTTTTTGCGCGAATTAGCCTGCTCCGCTTCGCAATGTTTAAACTCGCGCAACTGACGCTGATGTGTTTTACGTGTACGGAATTGATTACATGATTACCCTGCTGAAATGCGAACAATTTGAGACGAGCGTGGTCGTTACGCGACGCGCTAGCGCCTGTTATGCCACCCTTGGACTTTCAACGGTGCCATATAAAAATTATAGAAAAAACCGCTTTTTCAATGCGATCGATTCGCTGTACCGGCGAAGTCGTCAGACTTTATATGGATTTCAGCGTAATCACTGATGAATCGTTACATACGCAATTAACTTCGCAGCGCTTCGGCGCAACAGGTCGCGCGCTAACGATACCCGTAAATTAGAACTGACAGATGATCAGTGATATAAAAAGAGCATTTTTTTTCGCTTATCACCTAAGAAATTTGTTTTTTGCGGTGTTGAAGGTAAAAAATGTGAACTACTGTGTTTACGTTTTTATGTTTTGCTTTAATATTGTGATCGCGATTGGTATTATTCAATATATTGTTTTTATGGGCAATCATTTTTTATAAAGTACGGATTTTGGGCTATTCTCGCGCTTCGAGTGTTTACCTACTCAGTAAAAACCGCGTGTGTGGTTAGCACAGCACGTGCCATCAAGATGAGTCAAAATTTGGAACAATTTAATACGTAGATTACTATAGCGCGATAATTAATTGAGATAAGAATCTAATCATCAAGATCAACTACAACATTGATTTTGTCATGGCCAATTTAATAAATACATTATTAAAGCATGTATTAATTATATAATTAATTATTTAAATACATAGGTAGGTACTTTGCTAAACGAATAATGCACTAATAAATTTTTAAATAAATTCTACAAATTTCTTGAAAAATAAATTTAATTATTAAAGATAGCCTATAAATGTAGGTCAAAAATTGTTATCACTAAAAGCAATAGGTACATTTTAAATTTAATACTAAGAAAATGTTATTAATCTAAGATACCTAAATGTTTTTGTAAATAATTAAAACATTTTCGTCGTAGATAAGAGAATAAAAATAAAAATAATAATTGCGAAGCCAAACTTAAACTTAAATCATTAAGACATTTCTATTTGATGATTTTGTAATTCTTTTCTCTATATTCATATGCTTCTGATACAAAATGTTATCTCAATTACAAAAAACTGCATACCGACCAACCTTCTTCAAGACTACTTCTTGCTTAGTTATAACACAAGCGATACCGAGATACTTGCAGATAGAAAACTAAAAACTAATCTAAAGCGATGGCAATAAAGCCCGAAACTACGCAAGTGCGCGCAACGAACTAATAAATAATTTTCGTGATAGCCCTGGGTAGCGTTCGAAACTTATCAAGATCCGATGAACGAACCGAGAGCGCCGGGCGGATCGAGAGAGCTATCGCATTGCTAGAACTGGCTCAGGTTATTATTATACCGCGCGATATTAAATTATATTGATTTCTTATAGAGTTATAAAAATCTATGGGCATAACCATCGAGATGCATCTTTTTCTGACGTTTTCAATTCGATTTCGAACAATTGTAGGTTGGTTTTGCATTCGTATTGATTTCAAATAAATTCTGAAATCCCCATCACCAAGGTATTTTCTAGTTGTTTTTTCTGTTGCAAATGTAATTAGTTTAGTGTGACCAATAAGAACGCAGACTGTCAGTAGTAGGTCTATGCAATAATTGGACACTTCATTACACCATGTCGATTGTACAATGAGAACGCGGTGAGATAGTTGCTGAGGTCAACAAGATTTATTTCTTTTCGATTTGTCATACGAATATGGCAAATAATCCCTAATCAGCATCGAAGCACCGCAGTAAAACAATTATTTTCTCATTATGGACCATGCTATGCACGCCGGTG